CACACACACACACCAAATTCCCTCCATTCACTATAAATGAAAGTGTTTCATGGTATTAATCCTGCACTTTAATGTCATTGAGCCATATGTTTTGGTTGTAAATGTCTCCAAATGGTTTCTAATTAGCTTCTTTTCTTTGCTCCTCCAAAGTAGCTGCAGATGTATCTCTCATCATTTGGATCTTTATGACTGGTTCTTTCATCCCCATCTTGGCAACTGGTTTGAGTTTGTTCTTGCTTGAGGTTTGAAGAGAGATAATTGTATTGTATATTCATTAAAAGAACCCATTTGTCTACAAACTTACCTTTATAATACCGATAGAACCAAAACGCTCTTTGATGGCCTCTTCTGTCACAGAGGGATGAAGATTGGACACAAACACTTGATCTGTCTCATATTCTTTTCCTGCAAAATAAAACGATGAATTAAATCAATAATGTGGAAATTAATTCCATTATTACAAATTGATCTGCAAAAGGAAAAGTACCCACAAGTACTGAGAGATAGTTTTGATATTTTACAGGATGTGTGGCAGTAAGTAAGAAAACTAATATTTCAAATTCTGAGCTTGGAAATCAGAGGACCAAAACAAGTTAAACTTGGTTTTCATACTTCAGTTAACAAGATGTAAGTAAAGTAAATCAAAACTCTCAATACAAAATAATAAAGAAATATATAATTTACTGATATAGTTTGCATTCAAAGCTATTGAGGGACACTCCTAGAGATCTATAGCATTGATCATAAAATGTTCAGAATGAATTTAAATCAAATGAACTAAAACATATTTAATACCATCTTGATGACCACCTCCGGATGAATTACCTAGTAAAGGAAGCACACACAAAGGCTTTTAGTAATAATTTCAGCATTGCATTTCATCAACTTAAATGTCGTAGTTTAATTGACACCAAATTACCAAAACCTTCCCAAAAATATAGTTCTCTGAAGACAAGCGCAAGATCAAACACCGTTTACCAATGTACAGTACACAAATTTATGTACACAGGTTTGGAAAAACTTGATCAAACCCACATTGCCATATGACGAGCAGTTTGATATTAATGTTGCAACCCCAAGAAAAAAGTAGATTCTGTCAAAACCAATGCAGATGTGCTTTTAAGAAGCCACACAGGTCTACCACAAGACATCGGATTGGCATAAATGTATGTCAGTTTCAAGGGAGTTAATCAGACATTAATGTGAACCACAACAAGGGCAATTTGTACAGAATCTGCAATTTTTACACGCTCTAATAATATATGGCCCTAACCCCTGTTAAGCTACAATGCACATTGATATGGTAATTTTTGAGTAAGTAACATATCTTTTAAGGAAGACAGAGTGTAATCAACTTTTTTTCACTACAACCAACCCCACTTGGAATGCAAAGCTTTGAGAGCTTTGCACTGTTGCCAATCAACAGAGTTTTGAATTAACCTTTGACATCCGCCTTTGCTAGTTTTCCTTCCCGAGGTGGAAAACTTTATTAACAACAATACAACCACAGTTAAAAGAGCTCCTTGAGTGAAACATTAACCCTCAGTTCAACATTTACGTCACACTCTTGGCAATGTCTGCAAGCTTATAGAGGCTTGTTATATCCAAGTTAGATGAACCATGGTTGTACTGTTGTCAACAATTTTACCGTGCTGTTGTTGGCTTTAGCTGATGTCAAAAGTTGTTAAAAGAGCTTGTGAGTGGCAACAGGACAATCCCTTTCACATATCCTTTTCACTATATATAATATATCCTTAGCCCACACAAAATTGTTATTACATGTATATTACTTGTTGTTAGTTAGTTGCACATACTTGTAAATGACACTTAGTTGGAAACTACAGCACAAGGAACAAGCAATGACCAGTTAATGACACCATAACTGTCAACGCTTGTTACCTCATTAGACTGTAGTTCAAATTTGGTACCATTTAAAATATAAGAGTTATTAACATTAGGCTCAGTGCTGTAAAGGGCTAACATGCAAGCAACAAAGTAGATTCTTTAAGCATGTATACAAGACAAGGACTCTGGAGCTCAGAGCTCAAGATGCAAGCCACTATCAGAGGTCATTATTTCTAATACCAGTGACTGATTTCTTCAACTTGAAAGAAATCAGTTTTTGAACCTTTTTGGAAACCAGATTGATTCACCCACTTTGCAAGTATTACACATGATACCAAGGTGAGATTGTCTGTCAGTCAATGATTTTTCTTATAAACTAGCTCTTCGAGATTCAAGAAGAAAACACATTACCCAGTAGTTGAGGTGTAACAGTTTCCACCATGTAATGAGATGATTTGTTCTTAATTCAGTGACAATATTGCCCAACCAAGACGATGAATTTTTAACGCTTTGAGCTCAGATGGCATTTAATACTCGATATTGACCAATGATAACACCAGCTTCATAGCCGACCGGCCAGCAGGCAGAGTGACTGAATTACACCACAGACAGCATTTATAAAACAGCAGGACAGTGTCTGCGTCAGCATGACTTACCATAACCCACATTACTATTGTATCCACCCGGTCGGCTACCTCCTCTGCCACTGTTTGTACCAATAAATCAATTCATTGATCAGAAGAGGATACTGTGGTGTATCACAGCACCTCAATCAACCAGTTTAGTAGCATGATTTAAACTAAATAACTTTAACTTCAGTAATGTTAAATTACAGATATGAACATGTTAAGGAACCCCGGGCACCCAATCAGTGATGTATGTGCTTGTTGACAACCCAAGATCTTGATTGAAACAAGTGAATGGACCAATGTTTTGTATTACCCTGCCCTTCAAGACTGTGTTTGTCTTTACCTTACTACGATTACAATTTGAGCAAGGCGTGACAGAAGTTTGGAGACCAGGTTTTAACATTTGAATCATGTTGTTATGAGTAACAGCTCCGCTTCTGATGGCAACTTGTGGGCCTTTGATGTCATTTAGCAGCAAAATGCACGAAATTGAAGACGCCAATATTATTACCATTGGAAACGAGGGAAGTTGCCCATGGCAACATCAACATTTTAAGGCCAAAACTTTGTCACCAAGGCTCCGCCACAACTTACTTCACTGATAATCATAGTAAACAAATAGCAAACTTGGAAGAAGAAAAAAAAAACCTTGGATGGAGAAAAACATCTGCACAGAAAGATCAATTTCTTTCAAATCATTGCCATTCAATAGAGTGGTCCAATCAGAACACAATTTCTTATGCATCTTTGTAGTTTGCTTTTATAAGCTTCAAAGACCATTTTGGTACTCACAGATTGGAATGCAACTAGCTTGCACTGGAGGCTAAAGCTGAGCAAACTTTTCAAATGACAAGAAGCTTTTTTTTGTACTCCCCACATATTAATGTCCAATGCAAGCTAGATCCAGTCCAGTCCTGAAAATACAAAAATGGGGTATTGGCCAACTTTGGTTTGGTAATGGCCAACTTTGGTTTAGATTTTAAGAAAGCCTCCACTGCATCCAGCTGCAAAATGCTTTCTGTTAGCACTCTCACAGCACTAACCAAAGTTGCTTGATAAATTCAGCTATTCCATGCTGATGTTATTCTGTTTCTTACTTTCTCATAGAGAATTCCCAGGCTTGTGTCTATATATGGTAGCTCAATTTGTTTTCTAGGTCAGGGTGATTTCAACCTACACTGTAGGTTAATTTTTTATCAAAGGGGAAGGATGCATCTGGGACCAATAACTTATTACACCAATAAATATAAGCTTGCATGGCCTAGTGGAGATGAAGGTGGACTATAAAGTCACTGATCAGGTGTTCAAATCTTGGTGAATCCAAAATAAAAAAAAAGATCTGTAAGGGATCCTGGCAGAGTAGCTGAGGGTTACGCTCAGATGGGGGTGGTGTGTGACAGTACATGTATGTCATTCTTTTAAAGGCCCCAAACAGTGGGAACAAAAGTGGTTTGAAAACTTTAACCTTGATTGAAACAAATTATGATTAATCGAGGTTGAAATCATTCTGACCTAAAGAACAAATTTGACAGTAGGGAAGTTCTCTCCAAGTACCCTTTACAGTAATCACTCACCTCCAAAATCCAATTATTTTCAAATTTTGAAGGTTACAATTAATCAACATTTCTACTGGTCAGAAACAGTTACAGAAATTGACTTCTTCTTTTCCTTTTCTCATTTGGTAAGGAGGGGACCATTATTCAAACACTCCACACACTGATCACTCCAAATAATTTAACTGATATCACGGGGGACTACCAATCATTGAATTGTTTCCCTCAGTGGCCTTCTGGTACTGTTAGTTTCATGTGAAAAACATAACGATTCACGATTTGGTTTGTCAAGACCCCAGTAGTTAAATGGTCAAGGGTTCAAACCTTTTACTTTTTAATAAAAGGAATATGTTACATTCCCTCTGTTCCAGCTAAGTTAAGTTGGCCTAACATGGTTTAAGTGAGGTTACCCTTTACCCTCCAACACCCAGTGAGATCAAAACTGGTCAAGAGTTTGCTTCTTCATAAAACGAATAAACCACACCCACTATAACACTCAACAACAACCAATTGACTACTTACTGTCAGATCCAAAAAGGGAGCACAGAAGAAATTTCAAGGAGTTTTAGATTGCATTTAGGAACATTTTATACCCTGCATCTAAGGTTCAGCTGACCCAAAAAGAGAAAACTCTTTTTGTTGTTGTTGTCAAAAATGGAGATGTGACAAAATGAGGCTTGTTATAGAAAATTTCATTCCATTTTTCATTTCAAACTTCCACTATTTGAAATCAGTTCAATCATGAGCTGGAAGGTTAATCAGGTTCATGGTGTGTGGCATTGTGTGCTAGGCACATGAGAATGAGAACAGGCTAAAAAATGACTTTGTTGAATTAAGTCTCACTCTCAATATTGTGCATTTCATTTAAACAATGGAAGTTTGAAATCGAGATTAACACCCCATCTCTGCAGCAATTTTGCTTTGGGACAACCAGACTGCATTTGCCTTAACCAAAACTTTGTAATCTGGCCTTCAAAGGCTAACATAGGGAACAAGAGCTGGAGCTGAGGAAAAAGCATTTTTGTGTGGGTCTGTTGTGGTAACTCTTTTGTTGCAAAGTTTGAATCTGTTGCACGATGTTTTTTGACCCAGGCATTGCTACAAGATCGATGAAATATCTTTTCATGGTAACATGGTGAACAAAGGGTGACCAGAAAAGGATTTACCGAAATTTCACAAAGAGAACTTGTCATGTCAACCAGTGAAGGCAAAATATTACAGAACCTTGGTATGAGAAGCAGTCACATAGACTATGTGTGACTGTACAAAACAAACATAACATTTTATAAGCCCATGTGGCATTTCAATCAAAACTATGTATCAAGTGGTGACCAGGTAGTAACTTGAACATCTCCCTCAAAGCAGTGTCTGGCTAATTTCCATGGATGGAAAAACAAATAGCAATTTACTTGGAACAAGAGTCAGATTATTTCCAGACTCCAAGACTGTTTCTGGACTCCATTTTTTTTCACACCCAAAATCTTGCTACATCAGACCACACATACCATGGTGTAGTGCAGTGCAGGTGAGTGTGGAATGTTTCTGTTCAATTCTTTTCACTTTTTTTTAAACCATGCATCTCTATTAGTAACATATTTTAAGAAGGGCGCAGAGTATGTGAAAATTGCATTCTTTTTGTTGGAAAGAGTGCACTTATAGGGCTGTAGAACTACTCTAGGAGATGTTGAAGTTACCGACGTTTTTTAATAAAGTAACTGAAGTCATTAAGGAAAATGGTAAAAACCCTTTGAGGCCACTGAAACTGGCAGAGTAAGGTGGCAAGAACATACGGTTCTAAACATGGCAATAACTTTAACTACAACATGCAACAGGTTTCTACCATTTCCTAGTGAGATAATGGGATGTATGACAACATTACAGTTTATAACTGCAAGCTTTGCTCCGTAGAGCAGAAGTACCTGTGATCATAATCATGACATTTGATTGTCAGTAACCAGATAAATGCATTCAATACCCAAATCATTTTGTACAAGAACTAGACAGGCTCATTTCTACATTCTATATTCATTTGACAATCAAACACTTGTGCGCTGACATTAACAAAATCTTCTACCCTCACAAAAACAATGTTTTGAGACCAAAAGACCGGAGTGGTGTTCACAACAAAAGCTGAAATGTTATCCCATAGAACAGCTCCAGTTTCTTTAGTATCCACAAGTTATACCAAGTCATTCTTGAAAATTTTGTTCACAGTAACATTTGTTTAACCTTTTTGTATTATTCAACAGGTTTCCAAGATTACACCCAAAGGACTTTCAAGGGCAAATTTTTAGTACCAACTGTAAAATAACCTTTGATTCCTTACAGTGTTTATAGATGCATCAACTAATTCAAGTGAAGTGTCATGGATCAATACATGCAAATGCAGAATTGGCTCTCCATTTATCATCATTGCATAGTTCTCCTAATAGAACACAACAGTTATTTGAACACTTTCAGCTACTGTTTCATCTTCTTGCACTTGTATCTGCTTCTGTTAGTCAGAACAGTGTTAGGTTTTACCAGGTGAACATCAAAATCATTACGATCTGGCCTACAGCATGTACACGATCATCCAATGACACTTCTATGTGACTAACAAAAGAACCACAATAAGGTGATATAATGAAAGTCTGAACCTACCCTCTTCCACCGCCTCCATAGCCACCACCACCTTGGCCATAGGAAGAGCTCTGCTGTCCATATCCACCGCCACCACCGCTGCCGCCTCCACCACTACCGCGGCCACTACCTTGATACCCACCACTTTGGTAACCTCCACCACTGCTTTGGCTGCTGCCATAGCCCCCCTGGCCACTGGACTGATACCCTCCACTCTGATCATATCCATGTGGCTGTTGGTAACTCGATCCACCGCTGGCCTGTGTGTAGCCACCACTCTGGGGTTGTTGACTATATCCCTGATACTGAGTGGAAGATGCTGCTGGATAGCTGCTTGCACTACTGTCTGCCTGATACCCTGGATAGGATGTGGCAGAGGTCTGGTACCCAGGTGCTGCACCATATGCTGGGGCTGCTGGCTGAGCAGGGGCTTGGTAACCAGTTGATTGATAAGAACTTGTGGGAGCCTGGTAACCAGTTGATTGGTAACTCTGTGCTCCAGCATAACTAATGACCAAAAAATCAAAGAATCTATTTCAATATAGGCTTTGCTGGTTAACATCAATTCTCTTTTATTCCTTGTATTAGTAGCAGGGTAAAAATACTGTAAACATTGCTTAAGTCACACATATACTATTGATTTTGTTGTTGGTCAAGCAGTGTATTCAAATGTCAAATTCAGTTTATTGATCTAGTTTTCTTTTTGGACAAGTTATGGTCTTGCTGTGTAGAGAGGTGAAAACATGCACTACCATATCACACTGGGATGTGTTATTTGTCTCAGTTGTTATGCTTAGATGGAAGCAACAATCATTCTGACTTAGCTACAGTTTTACATTCTAAAAAAAGATCAAAGTGAAAAGTTCAAGCAAACTTATATCATACAAAGATTTAAATTGTCAAAGTTAAAGGTTATACGGCTTAATTTGGAATTAAAGTTCCTCTTGGACAAGAGTACGGGACCGGTATGTAACAATCTTTTAGCCTGAGTCACAGCCGCCCCTCCCTGAAAGAAAAAATTGGAGAGCATCTCTCTCCAATTTTGCTTTCCAGCAGGGATAGCTGTAACACAGCCTGACAATTTTTCTATAGTAATGGTCTAAAATAATGGTTTTCTCCCAACAATGCTTACCCAGTGGCTCCAGAACTTCCACCATACATGGCTGCTCCACCACCTTGGGTATATCCACCCCCATCTGAAAACAAAAAAAACACGATACACATGCTACTTTGGCAAACTAGGAGTAATGTAAGAACAGTTTTAAAACATGAGGCACCCATACAGGTCACTGAAATATAAACATGTTCAGCCTAAAAAATCAACCTACTTTGTCAAAGAATGGCTCAGGGCAAAATTATGATTTCTGGTTAACCCGAAATGTGAATTTCATTTCAAACTCATAATTTGAGGGAGAATTGAAACAGTTCAATGTTTGTTTGGCACTATGGAAAAAGGGACCACTGTCAAATCATGTCTTAAAAACCTTGTAATTTAAAGTAAAAGCACCCAAAGGTGAAAGACTGCTGCCGACTCTCATTGTTCATTGCCAAAAATTTGAGAGGTCTGCATTTTCAGCTGCAAGAACTGCTTACTATCTAGCAACTGTGAATATTGTGCCAGTTACATTTGCAAGCAAAAAAGGCAAACAAATTTGTGAATAAAGTTTTCAGATGTAGCCAAATTGGACAAATTGATCATCACTGGAGTAAAAAGAAGAAAATATAAGTCTTAGGCATTAAATGCTGCAGAAATTGGAGAGCCAACACTGGAAAGCAGTAGTAGTAGTAGTAAAATAGCTTACAGGTTGATATTATGACAAAATATCAAAAATTGTCATAAAAGTCTTTGGAGAAACAGACGTTTCGGTTGTATAACTCTTTTTCAGTGTTCAGAAAACCGTTATAGTAGTAGTAAGCCTACAATTGACTACCTGCCAAGATTCAGTTTTGAACAAATACTACGTATCACTGAAATAAAGCTTTATATGTACTGCATCAGCAGGCGGGCAGCACCAGATGTGCTACACGGGATAAGAAACTTATATCTAACCACAAGATAAGACTTAGCATTGAGCGGAAACAACGTGCATTCGAAGAACCACAGATTATTCCCTGACGCCAAATGAGCGGTTAAGTTTACTTTACTTATAAGCTTATATTTATTGCGTAAGTCGCACTGCATTCTTTCTCAGTGTTTCTTACACACAGTGCAAACTTTTAAACGTTTGACAGCATACGTTTTAAGCGTAAATGTTGAAATTTCACAGTCATAGCCATGTCCAATTTCATTGATTTGTCAGATTTGATACCACACGACAAACGTTGTGCGGCCAGGATTCTTTGCAAACTTAAACAATAAGCGACCTTAAAAGCACCAAAAATAACTTACATCCTTGATCAGCCATTGCGAAACCCTTGGGATATCAAATGCTCCGATAAAAGGAAGAAAATTCTCTCGTAAATTCAGCAATAATGGAAGTAACGAGAAGGCACACCACGCTTTCCCATCCTGCCTCGTTTCCGTACCGTGACGTCATTCACTCGTCTCAGTCCACTGAGCGCGCTTTCTCAAAATACTTTCTTGATGACTGTGGGTCTTTCGCTTCTATAATTGCTACATTATCAGGCCGAAACATTCTTTTCACCTCCTTCTTTGCCTGTTATGGGCGCTGGTGGTGTCAGTGGGGAGCTAAGAGATCATTCAGAGCACGTGGATGCGATATTGCGCTCACATTTTAATGTAACTAACGGCCGACCTTCGAACCTATCTTCTGCTTCGCCCCGGCCGAGTGGAGCTTCGAGTAGCAATTTCACTTTTTCGGAGGACGTTCTCGAAGAAATGGCTTGTTTCAGCTGCAGCTCCAATTTCACGCTCTTCAAAAGGAAGGTAATAACCAAGTTTCAGCGATTTGCTCTTGTATTAGATTGTTTTGATCATAATTTGTTGGCATGCCATGTCGAGTTGTCAAGGCTTTAAATTATGAATTTCATCCTCCACAGAAAGTTGTTTTCAGGTGCAGCGGTGGTCCGCTAGACCTTTCATTATAGGCTCGGAAGATTTATATTTTTAGTCGCGAATAATAAAGTAATTCCTGTAAACAGCAGTCAGCTTCAAAGCTTATCAATTTTATGGAATTCTTAATTTAAAATTAAGCTGAAGCTTCAATGATACGCCATCTCGAAAATATACACACTGAACACGAAGCAAGCATTTTTACCTTATTTTGATACTTCAGTTCCCTGATCTAATAGTCCGCTTCTGTTTATTTTAGCGAAAACGTATGACAGGACTGTTTTTTATTTACACGAGGAAGAATTTATGTAAAGCGAAAGCGTAACAACAAGGAACTATTAAGTTTTATTAATAACCTCAAGTTTATTTACCCATAAACAAACATAATACGGTTATCGCTTTTAACGATCGCCATCAAATATTAACACTGATGTTGGTCTGTTTCCATTCTGGGTATGAAAGCGTGATATTAGGGCCAGTTAATATTGCATGTTTTCCTTTAGTGTTTTGACAACTCCTTGTTAAATGATAATAATGTAAAAAAGCTGTGGGTGAGTGTTTAGAACAAATTTGCATTTGATCAGTGTTTTTCGATTCTTTCTTCGCCAAAAGCGTTGTGTCCTGAGATGTGTACCGCACATGATGTTTGTGTTATGTCTGAGAGAAAGAAAATCCGTGATTAACCTCTCATGAAATAAATATTTCTTTGCCTTTAGTGTTAGATCTTTGCATTAGCAATAAGCTGCGGTCTGCCCTAAGCGTGTATATTTGATTGGTTCTCGCATCCTTGACTTTTACTGATAGCCATAATTTGCGTGCAGGTTGTTACATGTAGAATTTTAAATCCCTATTATTTTCTGATCCCAAGAAATAATAGAAAATATTTCTTGCTAACCAACTGTCACCATAAATTTGTGTGGTTAGACTGGAAAATTTCAACAAGCCCATTTTCCATATTGAAATGTAGCAAATCATCAGTACGATCTCATTATCTAATGATATAGTTAGTTTTCCTATCTTATTTATTGTACCCTTCCCTTGTCTTGTGGTCAGGCCTATATTCATCAGATATTTTGACTTTGTGATAATGAATACTTGTGACACGTCAGACCTGTGAAGTCTAGTCTACTTGGAAAAAGTTTTGTGTAGAGAAATCTCTTTGAATGTGTCCAAACCTGAGCAGTTGTTAAATTCTGAAAAGAAAAAAACTGTCTGAAAGTTCAATTTGGAAAGGACAAATCATTAAGACACTTAATGTACTAGATAAAGTGAAAGGAATCAGATAGGGAAATGAAATATATTTTAAAATTTCTACAATCAATTAAATGCTTTGTGCAACATCATATTCCACCATTGCTAGTCGTCTGTTAGTTTACATACAGACAGGTGAAGTCACATATGGTGGGAAATGGTCAGGTGTGTGTGATTTAGATGGATCTTTTGAAAATGGCTTAACCTTATCAGGTCTTAAACACAGAGGCAAACTTTGATCCCTACTGGAATTGGAAAAAATCCTTTAAAATATTCAGTCCTGTGTTTGATGCGATGTTTCAGCTTGGCCAAGGGACTCTTCAGAGACCTTTCAGAATTCAGCAGAATTCAATATTCTGACCTTTACCTTTGTTTTGTTTCTGGTCAACAAAGTAGACTCTTTTTTCAGGCTTGCCTTAAGCTATTTTTTCACAAGTATTGATTTTTGACAACCCTGTGTTTATTTGTAAAGCAAACAGGATGAACTTTTTGGCATCTGAGCAAATCTGTAAAATAGGAAATAAAAATTTTTGTCTGGTGTAAAGCAACTTGCAAATTAAAATACAGTGATTGATTAATTAATTAATTAATTAATTAATTAATTAATTATAATTATAAAACTCACTTCTACCACTTCACTAATAGTGTTTTTCATCCTGCTTTTGGCTACATGTATACATACTTACAACTTTATTTCACCTTGGATTTTTGAGTAGTAACAAAATGCCATTATCTCCAAGAAATGGTTCCAAGATATATGTACATACAAATATGACTTAAGATTCAATTCAAGAATTGAGTAGTGTCAGTGAATTGAATCACAGAAATTGAATAATAGTAATCAATGATTGCATAGAAGATCAAATTGTTCACAAATTCACAAGAAACCTAGGTTAGTTCCTGCTAATTATTGCTCTCAGATTATTTATCTTCTGCTATTTTTAGCCGGGGTTTTTGTCATCATGCAGCCGAGTACACATCTGAGATAAATTTGTTTTGGGGGTTAAAAAGAATAAAATTTACATGTACACCACCCACCTCTCTCAGTTCCTAATCCTACCTTATTCTGGCAGGACCTCATATCAGCCCTCTTAACTCTAATCCCCCCAGATACTGTTTCATTATTTTCTTGCACTCACCTAGATTTCTGACTTTGTAGTCCAACTTCATCTCCACTAGGCCACACAAGCAATCATTGCAAATTCACTCAAATTTGTTGGTATTTTAAGTCAATGATCCCAGACTCACCCTTCCCCTTTGACTGAAATTAATCTATGATATGGTATTTAAGGAAATTCACATGAAAATTTTCCAGTTGATTGATTTTTTCCTTAATTTTTAGTGCAGTCAGATATTGAGTTACTTGAGTCAGAAATGCAAAAAAAATCAGGGGTCACCGACTTCGTTTCAGAGATAGAGCGTGTGGGAAACTACCCTGATTTTGAAAAATTGGCACACGTAATTCAGCATGATATAGTCTACAGGGGTTTATAGTTGAAAATATTGAAGGTGAGTCAACGGAGGCTAACGATCTTAGTCATATTTTGTAGAAGTGGGTCTGTTGCATAATTAATTCCAAATGACGCCAACGTTTTCACAAAACTTAACCCTTCGAGAGGCATTTGAAACTGCCGCACAGATAAACAAAGAGTTAAAAATAATGGAATTCGATGGTGCATTTTGCAAAAAATTCCAACTTTTAGTCAATAGATTTTCTTCATTTTTTCGCTAAACATGGAAAGTTGGTAGAGAAAATGATCCATCAAAAGAAAAATAGTGGTCACCGAACATCCAAGATCGTTAAATCCAGGCAAAGTTATAGCAATGGCCATGTGCCCTATCATTCTTCATTTTATTGCTTAGCGTGCACATCAATGCATGATGTGGCGTGGGAATTGCGTGCACAGTAAGGATGTGCAGAAACAATTAGTCCGAACGTCCTTAATTATATTATAATTTCTTTTAGGCTCTGAATGATTGAGGAGGATTCTATTACATCTTTTTTATAATGATTTCATCAAACACTTTGATTTCAGAATCTCTGTCGGAATTGCAAAAGACATTACTGCAATGATTGCTTTGCGAAAGAAACCAACTTTGTCCCTGGAGAGAACACCAGGAATTGCTTGACCTGCCGTGCTCTGCAGTCTCCCATAGCCTACAAGGACCATCTCATAAGGTTGAAAGTTAAAGACCTTCAAGATTATTTGAGGGCCAGGCAGATATCCACCAATCATTGTAAAGAGAAGCGAGAGCTGGTGGAGTTAATTTTACGGCATGTTGAAGGAAGATCAAATGCAGCTTCCTCCTCCACGGCACATTCTCAACAAGGAAGGCAACAACCTCAAGCACAACCCTCATATCCCCTTCCACCGAACTTATTTTCTGCAAGGATAGGCCACCCTAGGAGTTCAAACTTTCAACCTCCATCAAATGCGCAGCCTGTGCAGGTTTGTGTTGTCATTGAGCGGTGTTTGATACAAGTACTTCCAGGCTCGGGAAAAAAAATTTGAATTCCAACTTACCCTTCAGACAAGCAGCTCTAAAATTTTGCTTGCTTTGGACAAGTCTTACTTTTTTCCCTATCTAGTTGGCAGAGGACTTGCCCACTGGGCAAGTGAGAATGCAAAGTTACTTGCCTGGCAGGAAAATTTACTTGTCCTGAACGACCGGACAGCACTTTTTTGAGCCCTGAAATATTAGTATATGTGCTAACCCTGCAAGCAAATGGGCCTGTTATATAATTGGACATCTCCAATATTAGGATTGCACAGTGACCTAACGGTTAGCATGATAGATTGGGTGTTCTCAGTTCAAAACTGGGCCAGTGTCTATTGTTTGTGTTTCTAGGGAAGACATTTTACTGTCGTAGACAGTGCTTCTCTCCACCCAGGTGGGTGTGTACTGGCCAACTACTAGGTAAGGGTACCCGGACAAAATGAGGGTTAAGTAGCTGTGTGATGGACTAGTATCCCATCCTCCTAGTCATTTCAAGATTCTAAAACCAGGTTGTTAGCCAAAATGGGTAAGGGAACACCTTAGCAGGGTACCTCCAGCACTTCATGACTTTACAGCCTCTCCCATAAGGGGACAGTAGAGTTCAGTGGCGGATCCAGACCTTGAGCTAAGAGGGGGGGGGNTTTTTTACTCAAAATAAGGGGGGGGCCTAGATCTGCCACTGGAGTTTGTATTAGTACACCCAACTTAGATTCAACTCCTAAGGAACAGTAAATGTTTGACTCTCCCTCTATGCAAGGATCACATAAGCTTTGTTAATGTAACATTTATCGTAATTAATAAATAGTGATGATTATTTTGATTAGTTGATTTACTGTAAATGTTGCCGCCTAGGTTCCTCGGCCAGCACAACAAGCCTCTCAAAGTAAGAGTCTGAGCGAAATCCGGAACATTGATGAAGTAGAGGAGCTTTCAGTAAAGGAGCTCAAGCACATTCTAACAGCAAATTTTGTGGACTTCAAGGGCTGTTGTGAAAAGAAAGAACTCTTAGAACGGGTTAGAACTCTTTGGAATTCCAAGCAAACAAACAATAAAAAGAAATGTAAGTCACAGTTTTGTCATTTATTAGTGCATACAGTCTGTTTCCCTCAGTCAATTTTTTATTTTGCTTATGACATCTGGGCATCTATTGAATAGGCCATTTTACAGTTGTGTGCTTAGTTTCCGGGCCTAATTGAATGCAAGCAAGGTTGGAGATGGCCTTGCTTTGACACAGACCTCTCTGCTTTTCTCATTTAATGCAAACCATTTAGCATCACAACAGTTTAAAGCAGTGAGGTCTGTATCAAAAGTCATCTCCATCCTCGCTGCCATTCAAAGGCCAGATCTTCCCTTTAACTATGATTATTGATAATCTCCTTATACTATAAATGTAATAATATTTGGATTTGGATTGAGAAAAATAAAGTTGTTGTTGTGACACCATGTCCTTCTTGTTTCAGCTTCAATGGAACTAGAAGATGATGTTGATTTTGAAGATCAGTGTAAGATATGTATGGATGCTGGAATAGACTGTGTACTACTTGAGTGTGGTCACATGGTTACTTGCACAAAGTGCGGCAAGCAGATCACAGACTGTCCAATATGTCGGCAGCATATTTCTAGGATTGTCCATGTCTTTAAAGCTTAACCTTTGCTAAATGTAATAGGACATCAAGCATTGTGTTGTTTGTGTTTGAGATCTTGTTTGGCAAACAAAGTCTTAAACCTTACTGCTCAAGCCAAGATGATGATTTAGTCACGGACTGATCATTTTGCATTTTGTTACTTTTGAATGTCTTTGCAAAAGTTTAGATTAAATCAGAAAAAGCTAAAGCTATATCATACCATTCTTTCAGTGAAGAATAATTTTTAAAAATTTTAATATTTTTCTTTAAGCTCTCACTAGTAAAACAGATAGGGCAGTTTAAAAATTTATGCTTTAGCTTTTGAATTTATTGTGAAGTATATTTCATTTGGTCAAGGGACTTATTTATCAGTCAAGATCATGGTCTTTATATTACACATGTCAACCATAATTTAACAGTATTGATGTTAAACATACTCAAGTGTTATAAATCATATGCTTTAAGGTAGTTGTAGTTATATTGTATGAAAAAAAAAAACATTTAATTTTTTTATACCATGCCATAGAAAATACAGCCAATCAGAATACAGGAAAATAAACTGTTGTATAGTCGACAGCATTACATCCAACCTTCCCATCAGGCGCTGGGCATATGTTGCACTGATTTTGTCCGCCACTGTATTTTCCATGGCATATGGAATAAAATAGTTATGCAACCCTCTCATGGTGTACCATGGAATATCTCACTTGTCACTTGTAGTTTTTTTTTCGGTACATACTGATTTGCATAAAGACTTGTGTATACTGAGAACATTCAAGTGACTCATGGGATATTCAAGTGTATCCCACTTAAAAGTGTTGCATGACTAATAATATAAAAACAAGAACAAACATTTCTCTAGTAAGTTGAATTTTTCGTTGTTTCTTGTTTTGTTCAAGTTAAAGATGATTTCCAGTCTGTACTGCACACTCTCGAAGAGTTTGTTTACGTTTTTTTTATTTTGTTTCATGCAAGACATCACAAAATGTAAACATTTTCCAACTACTTATATGAAGTAAATTCGAAGCTTCATGTCAACCGCCATTATTTATGCAAAGCTTTCTGCTTCGTTCTTTCTCATATCACTTGATTAAACAACTTCATGGTTGTAAAATCAATGAAGCTGTTGGAAAAAGAATTTGAAAGGCCTCAAAGATGAGGTATGTGGTTCATAACGAATAACATCGATTTGCATTCCACCAAGTGCGACTTATAACGTTTATAAACATTAGGGTGCTGAGACTGCACAGTACAGACTGGAAATCATCTTAAAGTGTTCAGTTGTAAAAATAGGATTTTTTGCATGATCATTTTACTTTCACGTTTCTTTCTCACTACTAAACTTTGCATTTGAAATAATAAAAAGGGCAAACAGACTTTCTGAATGGTTCATAAATAGCTCAGGGTTATGTTTGTTCCTTTAGCTGGTAAATTTTGAAGCTCCTACAAAAATTCAAACCTTGCTTATTCCGGCTGTTTAGTTTTCCTGACATGTTTGTGTTGTTAGTAAGTAATGATTTATTTTAGATCATTTCCATTTTCTGTTAAAAAATGAAATTCCCAAAAATAGTTTCTTTCGTCAATATTTCATTACTCAGGAAACGTGACTGAAAGATTGAGATAAGTTTCTTCAGCAATTTTTGCAAGTTTCAAAACTCTGAACAGCTGTAAATATTTCAATTAAATGTAGTGCATTGCTGTAAAAAGTTTTGTCATTATTATAGTTGTCTGAGTTTTATTTTCATATTAAAAATTGTCTTGACTGTTTTTTTTTTTTTTTAGTTCCATACCAATATGGATAATCGAAGTTTGATGCAACATATTTAAACCATGAAGTACTAATGCCCAGGGGGTGGGGGACATTTAGGGGTGGGGGACATTTAGGGGTGAGGGACATTTAGGGGTGGGGGACATTTAGGGGTGTAAAAAGTGGTTTTGGTACCTCTTAGAGTGTTCAGTCTCAAAAGGTCCACTGCGGGAGCTTTTGCGGTCCCATTTAGGGTATTGAGCCGAAAAAAATATGACATCAGATAGTGTGTTGTTTTAGAATTGGTACCCCTTATGGGTGAAAAAATTTCAAGCCACGCCCACAAAACAGGATCTTTATACCTCTTAGGGGTTCTTGGAGGGATTAATGGAGGCTGTTCTATGGGCTAATGCAGCCTGTGAAATTTTAAAGATAATTTTTAAGCTAGAAGGCCTTATTAGCCAATACGCCTGTAATCCGGTAGTACTTTAGTAGTGTAATAATCCTCCACAACGTTTTTTACGCAGTCATTTTCTGGCGTAGCCTGTGCACATCTGCCCCCTCCCCTAAAAGATAGAATTGATTTGTTGTGAGGGGAGGAGGAAGATGGCTATTTTCAGCAAAACCCTTGTGTTCAAAAATATCCACGGTGCACAATGCAAAGCTTGTGTTTTGAACACTTTAAATTGCTTTTCGTCAAATGGTCGGGTGAATTCTTTGGTGATTTTCTTTGGTGTCATTTCTTTGGTTTTCTTCTCTTATCTAACGTAGCGAATTGATGTTGAATATGCCCGATTGTAGGGCTGTCTCATAAGCCTTTCTTCTCAAACTCATTAATAATTCATCAAGTTTAAAGAAAGGAAATCATGACCGTGACGGTGTTGGGATATCTGATCTTAATTAGCACAGATTTTTAAGACTATTTCTCCGTTTTCTCCTTAGTTCTAGTTTCTAAGATATATCAGACCGTGTTTGACCACATTTCCAAACACATCGAAGATCGTCAAAAGTACTTCGCTGCGCGTCGTATTTGCAACTCCCCGGTGTTTGGAAGTGTGGTCAAACACAGTCTTTCCTGTTTGATGTATTACATGACTTAAGACAGAATTCAAAGGTACAGGTTCTCGAGTGGAGGTGGGGTACTCCCTGATACAGGCTATATAGGTATATGCAAATCCAAAGGGTATGGATTTTCAGCCGTTTTGGTCATAAATAGGGTATGCGTTTTGTATTCTAGTCTTGAATTGGGTATGTTTTTAAGAAGGAGCTGCTCAGTTTCATCATTATCAATAAGACCATCAACAAAAGACCTTCACAAATTTTGTTCACGGCAATTTAACATTGGTCTGAACTAGGGAACTAATTATAACGCAGGTCTGAAATAGGGTCATAAACAGGATATCGAATTTTTGGTCAGGTCATAAATAGGGAAGGGAAAATCGCAGATTTTGTCATAAATAGAGTAAGGATTTTGGGAAGCAGGCCGCACACCCCCACCAAATTTTTCTGGGAGTACCCCTCCCGGGGGGGGATACAAGCACCTTGTGAACCTTGAGTTAGCTTTAATTTAAAAAGTTATACTCTAGGGTTTCATCCGTGGTCTTCCAATTTTAGAACCAACTTGTGCAGCGAAAAAACTAATACAATTCGAAAGCACTGGTCAATACATTTATAGCTAACACTCAAACTTTTTTTAACCAAATCCTGCGCCATGATTGGCTACCTGGGAGGACGAAATGCAGCCTCGTTCCCAGGCTCTCTCTTCTTCTCGCCCTCTGGAGCGCGTGCGCGCGAGAGAGAAACCCTGGGAACGAGGTTGGACAAGACGAGAAAAATAGTGTTCCAATGTCATAAATCCTTTATACACCTTATTCCAAAATGGCGGCCAATTTATTAATTCTTTTGTCTGCATGTTAATTACCCTCTTTGCCTCATTTTCACTTCAAAATTCTTTTGTATTTTGTACATGTTGACGAGGCAAAGAGGGCTAATTACCATGTAAACAAAAGAATAATAAACTGGCTGCCATATTTTAATAAGGTGTATTGACTAACTACTTGTTCGCTCAAGAAGGCTTAACATTGGCCTCGTTCTTTTTGCACGATTATGGACTTCTACTGCGTCTTCTCGATCCATTACCACTCAAAAAAAGAAACTTTGCCAACATCTACCTACAATTATCTTGACCTGACTTCTGGTCAATAACTCACATATTTTGCATGAATTAGCAAACAAAGCAGAAGTTTCTGTAAAGCATGACACTAGTGCGCAGCAGGCAGAGGGTTCCACGGCATGTCCATGTCAACCTGGTGAAACCGACACGCGTGTTTATCCATTAAAAACAAATACAAAATCACTGCTTTGTATTTACATATAGGCTGATACACACACCATTAGTGAATTTTGAAGGATTCGAACGCTACTTTCATAAGCTTTTGATTTTTTTTTTCGGACCTCATGCGATAAACCATAAAACGAGACAATACTCCTACGCACGAAGGAAACCTATTTATATAGCACGAGATTTACCCGTGCGCGCGAGGCAGAAGTTCTAAACAAAACCCTTGAGTTGTCTGCGACTCTGCAGCCCAATCACATGCATATTATTTTCTGTTTCAGACATGACACGAGGTACACACTGAGCCTCGGGTTGAAGATCGAGCTTCAATTACTAATTTAATGATCCGTGCTGCCTCGTTTGTAATTTTCATTTTTCCTTCATTGTCACTGAGAAGTCGCCAAATAGTTGGTAAGTAAAGTGTAAGTACTTTCATAGCAAGATTCAAAGCAGATTTTACTATAAACCCGTGAAACTGACACCCGCTGACAAGTACTATACGTAATGCTTTTCAGAGCCAGGACAAAGAGTTCAGACGTTAAACTAAGTTCTAGAAATTTCACCCTGATAGTTTTAATTTCATTCTTGATAGTTAATTGGGAAGGTAACAGGTTTCAAATTCGTTCAGAATCAGATGATCATAAACTTAGCTAAACTTGGAACGGGCAAACTAAAACTGTTTCCACGTTTAAGTTTACCTTTTCCGGCGGAAGGAACAAAATACGAAATATGCTCTCCGCTCTCCATCATGCATATACAAAGCATGCTGCAACGTCTGTAATCGCGTATGTGAATTAAACGGAATCTAAATGGTCAATAGTTGTTAATTAACACCGTAGTTAACTCGATTCAGTTCCTAATTAATAATCTAGAAAGGAATCGTAGCAACTGCAGATATATATTCAGACAATTCGAATTCATGCATACATGGTTGACAGACTGTGACGCTAAAGCATGCAGTTCTACTGTGTAAAGAAATTTCAAAATGTCTATTAATGACCCACATCTGCTGATCCAGGTTTCTAATGGAATGTGATTGGCAGTGAAAAAGATTTCATCCCATTCTTTCTCATAAGTATTTGACGTTATATTCCGCACTAACTGCTGGTGCTGTTTAGTATCGCAGTCTGATACAAGTGAGTGCTTGTGATGCGCGCTAGAAATGTTTATAATTTGTGTTAAGTTGTCTTTGTACTCAAGAGCCAGTCTGATAACCTTCCGGCCTCATGTTTAGCTTTGTTTCCGAAAAAGTTCATATTTCGATTCCAAAAAATTGTATCATTGGGGTGTGCGAGCATGTGAGGGACGTTTCTCAGTAAAACCCTGCCCTATTTCAAACAAAATATGCGATTTTCCCAACTCTATTCCACACCTGACCGAACAATTGACATCCTCTGCTATTTTACACTAGACTTTACACATGGTTGGCTACGGTTTGTGTAAACATTCGAAGCAAGGGCTTCAAGTTCCTAATGTTAATTAACAGTGAATCAATTGCGAGACAGGAATGAAACCCTTGAAAAGCAGTTTCTTCGATGAATTACACCTAATTGCTGACCAGTGTGCCTAAACCATACCCTATTTGGCGCCTCGCATACCTATATAGCTTAGGAAAGAAAGAAAATTCGAACTTACGTTCTAGTTTGTTGTGCTCAAACTAAGGTAAATTATTTTAACCTTAAATTCGCATTTCTTTTGCCCTTTTTTTTTTCACGTCTTTAGGCCAGTGTCTTGTCAAAAGGCCAAAAACTAAATTTCCACGTGCAGAGCAGAGAGGCAAAAGCGTCGCCTTCTTCTTGTATGTATTTGGTGACTGACATAACACGTGGCGGAAGTGAAAGGTGAGGCAACCTAAATTGACCAACTTCACCGCAAATGGATTTCACGTGGGAAACACAATCTCCCAACCAGATGGGTGTCACACCTCAACTAAGCCACAGCAATGGAAGATATGGCGATGAAACACCATCTCACTGCAAGATGGAATTAGGCCCCAATGAAATACGTCATCCCTTGAATACTCTCCACGAGTCACCTTCGTATCGGATGGAAATTCACGACGAAACACGATTATTCCAATTTGATTGTCAAAATAGGATGCCATCACAGGCCTTACAGCACCCTATTGGTTGCAAAAGTAGTATTCAGTTCCATGACACGGCGACATACCGGGGAGTTTCAGCCACCCACGATGAGATACCTTTAATTTGCGCCGGAAATACCCCTGGGGCGTCTACTTTATGTCCAAGGAAAGTTCAAACGAGGATGTCCCCATATGGAGTGAACATACAGTTAGATTCTAAAAGGGTCAGTGAATCCTACCAAGCAAGTTCAACCAACGGAATTCCATTTCACCAGATAGGCAATCCTAGGGAATTGTTTCTTGATAATTTCCCTGGGGTAACGTCTTTGAACCCGAGAAAGCTCCAAAAGAGGATGCCACCAAACGTGGTAGACATACATTCAAGCTCAAATAAGACACACCAATCTCACCAGGAGTGTTCTCTCAACGAAATTCCATCTTGCCAGACAGGAAATACCAGGGAAATGCGTCCTGATAATATCCCCAGGGTAACTTCTATAGATCCGAGGGAAGCTCATTCGAGGATATCCCCTTGTGGGGTGGACATACGGTCAGATTCAAACAAGGTCGATCAACATTACCAGGAAAGTTCTGCCAACGGATTTCCATTTTACCAGACGGACATTCCCAGGGAATTGTATCCTGGCAATATTTCCGGGGAAACTCCTTTAGATCCGAGGAAAGTTCAAGGGAGAACGCCACCAAACTTGGTAGGCGTACAGTCAGATTCGGATAACGCACCTCAGTTTCAACAGGCAAGTTCTACCAACAGAATTCCATCTTACCGTATGGATAATCCCAGGGAAATGCATCAAATCCCCGCCGAAAGCGAAACGTTGTCTTATCAAACTGGTCGCTTACAGAAAGGACTTCCATTGTGCGAAGCTGATTTCCACGAAGGAGTATCGACTCAACAAGATGATGCGTGGACTTACGAAGGAGTGAAGGCATCCAACCCCAAGACGAGCGCTAACAGCAGTACTTCAACAGCACGCTACCAACCCGTCGCTCCAAAACAGACAAGTCACAATTTGAGCGGTGCTCAGACTTGTCCGCGCTGCCACTGTGTTGTGACAACCCAACCACAGCCGTCGTATCTACCATCCTTGAACTTAATAAACGCCCCTGCTCGGTCATCGGTTATCATGGTACCACTAAAAAGAAAGGTAAAGTCAACATACCAATTCTCAATATGGTCAGTGCAAAATGAAGGCCGAGGACTGTAGACGGCAGACGGCAGGCGGCAGACTGTAGACTGCAGACTGCAAACTGTAGACTGTAGACTGTAGTCTAGAGTCTGCATGTTATCTCTAGTCTACGGTCTGCATTTAACCCGCAGTCTGCGTTTCACTCTCGGTCTGCAGTCCGCAGTTCTCGTCTTAAAATGACCGATTCTCATTGACTGATACTGACCCGGGTCCGATCTCCACAGAACGCGCGCTTTTATTGGACTTTTCGGGTTTTTAATCTTCTTTCAGTCCTCTCAGGAATTTAATTATCCAATAATATTTCTAACTGTTCCTCCAAAATTTGCAGTCATTGGCTACAAAGCGCGCGAAATTGGAAGCGAAGATATCATGTGTTACCATTTGAAACGAGGAAAGTTACCTGTAGCGACACCGTAATACTTCACCAAAGCTCCGTCGCGCCTTACTCAACTGATAATCATAGTACAAGCTAGTGAATTACTTTCCCACCCTAAAGTATTGCCTTATGGCTTTTACCCACACTAGTCCTTAGAATTTGCGCATTTCTTACATCTTTGGAACTAGACTTCCTTTTACCAATTTTTTCAGACATTTATTATCATTAATTTTCTTTCCTCACCAGCTGAAGACCAAAGATCGAGAAACAATTTCGTCCACAGCGCAAGGTCAGGAACGGGCAGCAACGAGAGATTCGCCGCAGGAAAACGTAATACCAATTCTTTTACTAGTAGTAGATATCATTCGGACTTTAGGCCCATGGATTAGCGCACTGCTGGTTGGGTGCAGTTGTTGTCCGAGGGAGGGAACTCCTTCATAAAAAGGACGGGGATACTTCTCGTATCTTTTAGGGGTTAGAAAGCGGTTTTGGTACCTTTTAGCGTCAGCTTTGGCGGTACGGTTTGGGGTATTGTGGCGAATCCTCAAAATTTCCGACGGGCAACCCCGTCCCTTTTATATGGGTGTCTTCCCCGGGGTTGTGCACTGTTAGTTTGGTCCAATTTTTTTCTACTAGTATGTTATTACAGTGAGTCCGATTAGACTGCTTACTGATAACGCAGGTAAAAAAGACGTGAGAACCGATGATCACTTATTCTCTTGACAGGCGCTTTTAACTTCATTAGGAAACTGAGGAAGAGGTTGAGATATTAACTGAGCCCGCGTTTTTTCACAGTGGGGACACAATAGACTTGATGGCAACAAGCTCACAATGTCAACTTTCGAATTTTGTCGTGCTATCTCCTGATCAATTGATAAGAATCAACTGGCAAGGTTTAACTGGAAATTGTGTTATTCTGGTGCCTTATTTTGCTCGAGTGCTATTTATTGTATAAGATTTATTTTAGCAGAATGTTGAGTTAATAAGACTTTAAAGGAGTCTACAATGCGCTTAAGGTGTGAAATTCAGGAGAGACAAATCCCCTGTGGGGCGCGGGGGGGGTACTCCCATGTTAAAAAGACGGGGGTGCTCGTCGTACCTTTAAGGGATTAAAAAAGTGGTTTTGGTAACTTTTAGGGTGTTCAGCCTCAAATGGGACACGGCGGGAGCTTTTAAGGTACCTTTCAGGGCATTGAGCCGAAAACATATCACAGGAGATGATATGCTGTTCCTCTTAGGAGCGACAAACATTTTAAGCCACGCCCACAAAACAGGATCTTGGTACCTCTCAGGGGTTCTTTTCAAAACTTTCGAAGAGAAACCAGGTCCTTTTTGTATGGCAGTTCCCCCGGGAAAAATCCTTTAAAGCAAGCGATTCTTCTTGTTTAGTCATAATAATGATAAGAACAGTTTCTGACTGAGCGCCATTTTTTATTCGACTAGGAGGACTCCGATTTGTCCGGAGAAAATGACGATGAAGATGCAGAACAGAAAAAATGTTTTCGCGTAGATATCGATAGCACGACGGCAAGATTTAAGCTGACTAAAGAAGACTGGGCGAGGATACCGGTCAAGTCATTTCCAAGCGGCGGCCGTTTATTGAGCGGGCACTGGAACCGCATTTTCGCTGACAAGATAAAGGAAAGCAACCCATGGTGCAATGTGCGCTTCAAGAACAATCACGTGAGATCAGCAAACTCGCGCAAGGTCCACTCTTCCGTGTTTTTCAGAGGAGGCGCTGAGTGCAAGCGTCCAGAATGCAACGTGAAAATGAAATTGGTGATTCGCGAAGAATACGGAAAGCAAGTGGAAGTGACTTACAACGGTAATGTTTGTCACAGCGCCGGAGAGTGAAAGTCACGTGACGATACTGACGTAAAGAAGTTACGAAGGAAACACGGGAAACACGCGCGATGCGTGTAACAGCCTCGAGGCTAACAACAAAAGCTCAAGCTTTTTTACAATACAAACATTCAAAAAATATTTAATTAGTTTTAGTGATTCAAAATAACCAAACTATTTATATTAAAGTATAGGGTTAAGTTAAAATCTCTCCGTGTCCCGTTTTTGTGGCACAGAGCAAGCCATCCCCTCAATAGCTTCGAATTTTTTAAGGCATTCATTTAGTTGGCGCGCAGCGCCAAAAAAAAAACAACATTATTAACAATAAAAAAAACAAAACAAAAAACAAAAAACAGAAAAAACGGTGGAGCGAAATAAATAAAAGGAAAAAGAGGCTTGTTGCGAGGGAGCGAACACCTTTCCGGGCAGCGCTTCTCCAGTATTTTTTCGTGCACCATTTTTTGCGCTGTGCCGCACCTCGCTGAACGCTTGGAAGACGCTTTCCTCTAAACGATAAGATGCTTAGTAGATCCTTCCATTTTGATAGTAATAGCCTTCTATTTCAAATTGTTTTAGTCTCTCTGATGACATTGCGTAGGTTCTAGTACGTACATTCTCTCATTAAGAAAGATCGGATTGTGCTCTATATCTAAACGTTTGAAAGAACATTTTTGTGAGATCTCCCCTAAAATTCGCCGTTACTGACCTATTCATTGATATGCTCTTAGGAGGAAGGTGGTACGCTGAGAATTAAATATCATATCTATAAATAACACTCCTGTACGAATTCGTCTTTAATTCTAACGATTCACTTAAAACCAAAATAACAATACAGAAATTAATAAATACGAACTTAAACTTAAATAAACTGAAACTACAACGATACGAAGAACAGCAAAAAATAGAGAGGAAAAACGAGATTACTTACAAGGTCTGTACGGCACTCCGGAACTGACAACGACTGAATACAACTAAAAAACTACAACGCTTTTAAACGGAATTTTGAACTAAAAGAATAAACTTAACGAGGTTACGTGATAAACAATAGACGATTACATAACACGACGTGAAAAAACTAATTTACATTTAAAACTGCACAAAAAGGGTACGCAACAAATTAACCTTTAACATCAAAGACAAAACAAAAAAGAAAAGGCGACCAAAAACGGAAAAATTTAACTCTCGTGGCTACAATATCTTATATCTTGTCCCATTTTATAACATACGAACAACAGTAGACTTGTGAAAAGACGCTCGGCTCTTGAATTGTTGAATAGCTTTCGCCCGCTATCGCTCGCACGCGCTCCAAATGATATTCGCGCTTCACGCTCTCTATTCAGTTACGCTCCGGCTAAGGTCGATTTGTTAGCAAGTCAAGGACAACAGTCAAAACTTGAAGCCCACCCCTCTCGATTCAGAGTCCAACCAATAGGCGACCAACCACTTAACATGCATTGGCCAGCTAATTTAAAGGTCCATAGCACCCGGTACCATTATATTGTTTACATCCTACCCAACCGTCGACGATGTAACGTAACATATACACCCCGAATGAAAAAGGATCAACGCGCTGTCACGATGGTGGAGTCTTTTTCTCATCGCAAAGCAGAAAATGATAAAAGACCAATGTTCACTATTTGCGACTGAAAGATATTTACGAAAAATTATTGTTTTTCCTTTTAAATTTTATTTTTGCGATGTCTCTCCTACCCTGCAAGCAGAGTTACGTTTTCTATGAATATCGAAAGCGACTCTGCTCGTGAAGTATTTACCTCTAATCCGCTCTTGTTTAAACTATCCCGGCTTCACTCTTCCCGTAAGGGAGACTGAACAATCTCGATTTTCTGTAACTAATGGAAAATGTACACTGATCCCGCCAGACAGCAGAGGAGTTAGGGAAATGATACAAAACTAATAATGAAACAAAACCTAAAATTTTTTAAAAGTGTATAGAGCGTTTTGACATGACGTCACAGCATGGCAGCCATATTTGTGTTGAAAAACAATGAAACGGTGGCCATGTTGGTGTACCAAAACAATCCTGAGGGAGATAAACTCTTTTTTTATGTAAACACTTCCTCGTGTTTCAATAAATTTGCATGTGTGCTGGCCACGTGAGTGAAAACGCTTATTTCGGTTTTGAAACATCGCGTAAAAGTCATGTACGCAAAGCGGGCCTATATTTCTCGACTTTCTAAGGGAGTCTGGGCACTAGTTCAATCCAAGATGGAGTTCGAGGAGTTGAAAGTTGAAATCCCTGCCGATGATAGCGACAAAGAAGAGAAAGATCTACCTTCCAATTTTGTAAGTAAAAATAAAATCTAGTTGATAATTTCGTATTCGCTATTTATGGAAACATCTATAGATTTCTTTCTGCGTATTTTGTTTACACAGGAAAGGAGGTACGAAAACAAGTCAGGTTGTTTTGTGACAGGATTTGACGTAACTTCCAAGGTACCAACGATACTATCAACTTTATTTTTTCGTTTTTGTAACATACAAGTTCCTAGTCAATCTGATTTCGTGATTAAGTTGAAAATTTCGAAATCAGTGGAGCAAACTCTCAGAGATCCTCGAAAGTTGCTACAAATTGTTAGTGTAATAAACATAAATAAGCTAACATGATTAGCTTGAAATATTAACAATGCCTTTGATCTTGCACGTGAACGTTAAGCTTAATTTCAATTTTACTTCTCCCTCCTTTTCCTTATCTTTTATTAAGCTAAAATGCAACAAATTAACGGATCTAAAATGAGACTACACGAAAAAGATGTCTCAACATAGTCCATTTAAATACCCAGCATTTATTTTAAATTTTTTTGCTAAATTCTTTTTGGGAAGTACAGATAATAGCAGAGTTTGAAAGATAAGCATCAAATCATATCAGAATGTCACTGGAACACTTGAATTCGACCTTTTGATTGCACTACTAAGTGTATATTTATATACCTTCACAGCTTATATTCAGAGAGTTGAGGTTAATTTCTATGAGAGCTGACTCAACAGTGATGCTCTAATTGTAGGAAGCGCTGGAGAGAAAGGCTAGAAGAGCAAAAAGATTTGGACTTCAGTCAAAACGCAAAGACACTGAAAAAACTGACAGTCAGTCTGATGAGGATAACCATACAATGTATGCAATATTTATACCTAATGATACCTGATCATGTGTACTAAAGGCATCAACGGTTGAGTGTCGAGCGATACCCTTGATCGACCCTCGATTGAGCCTCGATTGACACCTCGGTTAACACTCGATCGACACTTGATTGACATCTCAGTCGAGAATCAACTGTTTTTGCAGACACACCATTGTGTGGTGATGGATACATATGAGTCGATCAACACGTGGCCAACTATCAACTGACTGCCGATTAAGTGTCAATAATTGAGAGTTGATCACGATGTTGATTGAGTGTCAATCGAGTGTCGGCTGAGTATCAATCAACATGTCAATCAAGTGTCAATCGAGATGTTTCTTCGAGTGTTGATCAAAGGTCAACTGAGTGTATTTGGTTGATGCTCAGCCGTAGATGCTTTAGTACAATTGATCCATGGTACCTTTTGAGTATGCTTCAGCCTGTTGTATATTAAAATCACAGTTGTCCAATGTTTCGATGTTTGGAACAATATTTTCAAGGTAAAAGTGAAACTATTGGGGTGACGCAAGGATTTAAATTGTAAAAAACATAATTAACATTGTTTGTGTATGTTATATCATCAATAACTTTGTGTGAATGGAGTCTTCATATAACATGCACAAAAAAACGATAATTATGTTTTCACATATGTCACCCCTATATTTTTACTCTTGCCTAGAAAATGATGTTTTTCAGCAAACCTTTCGTCATTTGTTCTGTGGTACATGGATATCACATGATTGTGGTCCAGTTATGGTTTCTATTTTGGCAAGAGGTAGTCAAGCTAAAATATCCATGGAAACAACAAGCAAGTCCAGGATGCAATGAAAACAAATATTTCTTGCTAGTATGATTAATTAATTTGAAATCAAGGATCTTCAAAGATTTGTTCAAGGATTGTAATGAAGACTCTTGAGAATCTTCAATTAATAATTCAAGGTTCTTGCAGTGTCTTGCAAAAAAATGTGAATGATCTTGCGAAAATCCCTAAGATTCTTGTAAAGATCTAAATGGATTACCAACAATCTTGCAGGATCCTTAACCCATTGACTCCTGTAGGTTTTTGGCAAAAACACATTTTTTGGACATTTTTGACATTTTCAGCCTGGATATGAGCCAAATTAACTCCAATCTACTTAAAGAGACATTTGCAACATGACAGCATGCCTCTCTTTCCACTAGCATTACGGTTTATGACAAAATTTTGATATTGGACGAGAACGTGACCTATGTCGTTAGGCTTTTTGCCTTTTCTTTTTCTCTTTTTTCTTATCTTTTTGCTGCAGTTGTTAACCTTCCACTGGGCTTGCCTCCAGCTCAAGAAATCCAGAGAAAGCATCATTGAGATGGGAAGTTCTTACTAAATTTCTGAGCATTTTCGTGCATATTTCAGGCTCAATTGACCCAATCACTCTGAAATGAATATCATTGGAAGGATCTTGTCCTCCTGAAGAACTTGAGTATAAGTGATGCCGGTTTTGGGCAAAGGCAGTGATGTCAGAAGTGGAACAAAGGCCAATGCTCATCACACTCAGTCACAGCTGGCACAGGCAACAATGGGTTAAAAACTCTATTCTAAGATCCTGGTAAAATCGTCAAAAAGTATCTCATCCTGGTACATATTTTCTTTTCCCAAGATCTTTTTAGATTCCTCATCATCTTGAAGATCCTTTAAAAACCCTTATTGATCTTTGAAGATCCTTTAATCCTGCAAGACTTTCACAGGACTTTAGGGCGGGGTAACAAGTAAATTAACATCTGTTTGAGTCAAAGCATTTGCTAATAACCCTGAACTTTATGAAGGTCAACCTGTAGTCCTCTAGATCTGTGGACCATTTACCACTGTCAGTAAAGTGCTTGGTTATGCTGAATCTTGTATAGTTGAAAAGATTCAGTCAGATGGTTGGGAGGTGTTGGATGGCCAGTTTGTCTGTCCGTCTGCCTGTTTATCCGTCTGTCCATCCATCAAAAACAAGAAAATCGTAATTTTGTACAGTGCAAAAACAACTTAAATATACAATGTGATCATTGTTGCAGATTGCCTAGTGTTGATGTCAAAGAACTACCAACGATATCCGATGGTAACTTTGAACTTATTTATTTAGATCCAATAATGTATAATCTAAATACATGTACACTGTAGTAGCATCTGCAGGGTTGTAAAAAAATTTCCTGGCAGTGACCTAGATTGGACTCAACTGAATTTTATTTTATTTTGGTCATTTTCCTTCTGTGAACTGCTTGATGTCTTGATGTCCAATAGCAGGTATACAGCAGCTATATTCTAATACTATTTATGATATAGATAGGACCCTGTGTGCACGCTCTGATTGGTCAAAAACCCATGTTTTATCAGAGTATAAAACATAGAAAAAGCGTGTTTTATCGTTTTTCGCCACATTACCTCTATATCATAAAGCAAATGAAGAAGCCTAAGCTGTGTATTACACTGTGATAAAACACTCCGGACATTTGAGAACACTCATAGACAAGAAATGTAGAAAACACTCGTCTGTGGCTTGTGTTTTCTACATTTCCCTCGTGTTCTCAAATGCCCTTTGCGTTTTATCACAGTGTAATACACAGCGTAGGCTTCTTTATTTGTTTAATAAATACACCTCCTTTGCTGGCTATTTTTTCTGATAACATTGATGTTTTGTTTGCAGGTGAAGTTAGGCTAGATGCCATTCTAATTCATGGTGTGGATAACATGAGTACAAAGGATGTGTTTGCTTATTTTGGGGATTTTGCGCCTGGATCTGTGGAATGGATTGACGATTCTTCATGTAAGTCTCTCTGCCAGTATGGTCAGTCATTGCTGGTAGGGGTTTCATTTAGGGCCGGGCACTGGGCAAAATGACCAGCTGTGAGAACAAGTTTACCCACCTGGTTTGACCATTAAGAGGAAAGTTTTTCTGACTGATAAACTAGATGTTCAGTTCAAACTGTTTTGCCTGCATGTGAACTGCAGCTGCCCTCCAGCTGAAAAAATTAACGAAACCCATGGCGGTTGATGGAATGAAATGGCAGCTGTATTTGCTCCCAAATTATTACTGCCTGAAGAAATTCCTAGTCACAAAGATGTGACAATCAAATGCTAGATTTAAGATGCTCTGTTTCTGAGGCCCTTCCAGCATAAAATGGTAAGTATCAAAACCCAGAACACCAGAATGCCAGAAAACTATACAACAGTGCAGACCACACTTGAAAAGGCTAGCTCACTAACCAGTTACTCTCTAATGAATGATCTCTAACTACAGACCACAGATATTTTCTTCAGCTTATTTCTGTGCTTCTATTGTATTATAATTAAGTCCTTATTTTATGTCTTTTGTTACTTCAATTTTTTCATTGATCATAGGTAATGTGGTGTGGGATGATGACTTCAGTGCTTCTAGAGTTCTAATAACAATAGGCAAAGACATACAGAAACCTGCAGGTGACTTGTTAAACCATTTTATATTCACAAGGAATCTCATGAAATATTTATGGGATCTACATGTAGAAATGGTTTGAAATGTTAACTGCGTTGCTCTTGCAACCATTGGTAGGATAACACTGTAAGAGGCTCTACTAATAATTAAAAAAGCAATCCTAGGGGGACCTTATGGAAGAGTGACAGGAGTGATGTAGAGGTGAAACCCAGGGGGAGGGAGAATACTCCCATCTATGGGTTATATAGTTATGTGCCATGGGATAGGGTAGGGTTTTGGGGGTTCTAGATCCTTAAATATGGTATCATTTTGCCCCTGTTGGCATTGTGTTCCTGTGTGATCCTTAGATAAGGTGCCTAAATTGTATCAGCTAAAATTGCCATGTGTAAATGCCCATCTTACCAGAACACAAATGATCTGTTAAAAGTGAACTATCCACTAACTTTCCATGTTACAGAAACAAAATAAAGTTGACCCGTTTATGCTGTTCCTCTCTTTTGTTTCTCCCTTGATTAGGCTGTCATTTTTGGGTTTTGGGCCTTAAATAGGGTATTAATTTTCATTTGCTTCATGCTTAAATAGCATCAGGCTTTCAGACCCTTTGCAGCACACACCTATCCAAAATTTATGGAAGTACCCCATCCCCCAGGGGTATGATAACAGGAGACTTGTGACAAAGCATGAAGAAGATGTGACATACATATATGACACATGAGCTCAAAGCACTGAAATAGTTAATGTCGTTAATGGCAAATAACCAACCTAATCTCATTTAATATTCTTTTATATATTAATTTATATTACCTCAAAGGAGTAGCTTGCTTGCAAAACTATTATAGGTTGGAGCACTTTCCATCTTTCATCAGCAAATTATGACTTTTTAACCTTGAATATAACTCACTTTACATGGTGCAAAATTATGTACTAGTCTTGGCAGTCTAATTTCTGAACTTTTCTGAACCTCATTCTTGAATTCCAAACCCAAACAAACAGAAGTAAAATATTATGGTGAGTTGCATACTGTAGTGAAATGTTACTCCTCTAGCCTCATCAACGCTTATCAGAATTTTTGAAAAGAAGCCTAAAAGAAATCAGTGTTCTTTATAACATATTCATTATATATGTGTTGATTTGAACAATGCTGCAGATGATGATGATGAAGATATAAGCGAGGCTGTGGAAATAAGATGGAAGCTAGGGCCTCCTCATCCAAATGCAGAACGACTTCTCTTGCGATTGGCAACTAAAAGTAAGTGATAAAGGATTGCAGTTGTTTCGCCCAAAAGCCAGTTAGCTCCTGATCAATAGACCATTTTACAGTTGTCTGCTCAGTGACCTGGCCTTTTTATGGCAGCGAGGCTAGAGTTGACCTTGTTTTGAGACAGACTTCACTGCTTTTGTCATGTAAATGCACCTAGTTAGCATCAGAACAACTTGTTTTACACAACAAAAGCAGTATCAAAACAAGGTCAACTCTAGCCTCGCTGCCATACAAAGGCCAGGTCACTGAGCAGACAACTGTAAAATGGTGTATTTATTAAAGAACAAGAAATAAACATGTTTTGTGTAATTTTGTTTCATAATGCCCACAATGTTGTCTTTTTTGCTCATTTAGTTTAAGAAAGAAAGAATTTAACACATCCTTCTTGAAGCTTTCAGTCTGGGCAAACAGACTGTTAGTCCACGTGAACTGACATCGGGCAAACTGGCTATCAGGCGAAATGACTGGTTACTGTGATAAACCCTAAGCCTTGTTCATTGCTTCTTACATTGTATTATTTTCTGATATTAAAATAACGCGAAAAGAGTAAACTCCCAAGTTCCCTTCTCTATTTCTCTGGTGTGAAATATGTTCATGGCATAGGAATGAGTAAGTTTTGTAGGTATTACAATTTTATGAATGCTTTAATAAGAAATCTCCTTTCAGAGGACAAGAAAAGACCAGGAGCAGCAAGAAGAAGCATGTATTACTTAGTCAATGGTAAAACAAATACAAGTGGTCGAGGTGGGTGTTTCACTGTTTGGGTAATTCATTGTTGACATGTTCCCTATGGGAGGGTTGTTTGGAACATAAATCTCAGCTGGACTCCGTTTCTGCAGGCTTCTTCTCAGCTACATTAGCCCCAGGGGTGGGGGGGGGGGGGGG